TGACTCTTTATAAGGAGCTGAATACGTAACTCGGATCATCAGTATGTTCACAGGAAAAAGAACAAGCTGTGTGTGGCTTCAGCCCCACCTGGGGCTAAAGCAAGCAGTAGGAGTGGGGGCGAAGGGTGAAGGGAAAAAAACCACATTCTCTGCAGAGAGATCACTGCTCAGAGCTACTTGGGGATCCATGCACTTTCCCTTACACAGACCTGAGAGAACACCTCCACGTTGGTCTTCAGCTTTATTTAAAAGTAAAACAGTTACGGTTACTACAGTTATAACTTGTAATACAACACAGAAATCTGTGTTTTTCTTTCACTCTGAGGTGTCAGTTTAAGAAGTCTTATTAGAATATTGGAGCCAATACATTGCTCATTTTCTGTCTTAACTGCTGACTGCATGTGACTGACAATTCTGTAAGCATTGCTGCTTTTTCAGATCCCTTGCAGTTATCCAGAGATAAATTCCCCAAACTTACAATTCAAAGCCAAGGTCCTTGCAAGCCACGTTTGCTTCGTTCATAGTCCACTCAGTAGCACATACAAAACTGTTGTCCTCTTGATTAACAGGTTTTACTTGAAGCAAGCTTGATTGTTCACCATACAGAGAGACTAAAAATGTTTCTAAAAAAAATCCCCCCAAAATATCGTATTATATAGAAGTATCTAGTGGAAAGACAGCACAAAACCAAATTGGGACTTATTTTGTACTTACAGCCAAAGTTCATATGGAAAGAACAGTAGATTGGGAATCAGAAGCTTCAGGTATTATTTGTGAATTTTCTGAGGATTGACTTTGTGTCTTTGAGCCTGCTACTTTTTCAAAATATACCAGTTTAAGGACAAATGAGGATAATGGACACATAAGAGTACCTGGAGGTCTGCTGAGGACAGGCTGCATTTTAGTATAAAATTAGACCTTTTTTAAGGGAACTTCTGATAACCAACCAGTAACACTTGAAGTGAGATGGCCAGATCCTGCTTCTACTACCTGTGTATCAAAACGTCTGCTGGGTGCAGTGGAGCTGAAGTCCTCAGCTTAACATAGTGAAGCCATATAGAGCGCACCAGGATGCCATGGAGGTTCTCCAGACCTTTTCAGTGGAATAGACAGAATTGAATTTTGCCACCCTGAAGGTGATGGGCTGAGCTGCTGCTTCTCTGAGGAAAGGGCGTGATGGTATTGGGACAGTACTAGGCCTGGCTTGCTACTCCTGCTACGTTTCGTGGAGGTGGGGCTGGAGGATAGGCAGGAACTGTATCTGCCTCTGCTAAAAGAGGTACCTGCCCAGTTCACAGGAGCCATTCGTCCCTGCACTCAGACAGATACTGAGCCAACAAAGCAGCTTGGTGCAGCATAAAAAGCAGGTGAGAACAAACAGCTGCGTGTCAGCGCACAAACTGTCGCTGGTTTGAGGTACAGCAGCTTTCTGTCTCGATGGAAACTGTGCACAGTGTGAAGATGGCTGAGGTGAACGTGGCTTACCTTCCCCCATGCACTCCCACACACACCTCAGCAGCTTGACTCCATTCCTTGGAAACTTACTCCTGTGAGGTGTGTCCCTCTCAAAAGATACCCTCTCTGCTGATGTTCACAGCAGGCCCTCTCCCGCTGCCTCCCACCATCGTCAACACCCTGCTTAGAAACCTTTGGGCTCTTTCCTATGTCTATTTCTTCCCTTTCTACCTGATGGTTTGAGCAACCAACCAGCAGCAGGGTGACCAGGACCTGCCAACCACTTTATTTTTTATGAAAATCAACAGATACTGCACATTTTAAATGACTTTTCATTTTCTGTTTCATGTTGTTGCTAGTGCAAGAAAATGAACTGACTTTCTGAGCCGTAAATAGCAAGCATCTCCTTAATCGCCAGTTTGATAAATTTTGGAAAAGGAGGTGTTAATACCTTCAGGCATGCATTTTCCCTTGTGCAGAAACTTTGTTTGGGGATGCAGACACTCATAGCTCTTCAGCTGACAGTAAGTAAGGAAGTTCTTTTCACTGGTAGAACAAACTGAAGAGCCATTCCTTGGGCATTGGTAGGGAAGCTTACAGAGGCATTTTCCCTCCACGCACCGTTCCCATGGGTGACAAAAAACTTTCTTACAGGACTTGTGGGTGTACTGCTTGCTTAAGCATTCTCGTATGAGGTACATGTCTTGCTTAGCTGGCTGGGTGGGTTCAACCTGCTGAAACTGGTTTTCTTCATCATTAGATGTTGCATTCTGCAAGGCACAAAAAAAAAAGTAAACTTAAAAGGGAGTAAGATTAGGGACTGTGCCAAGAGTTTTGCAGATCCCTCAACAAAATGTACATTCATAAGCCTTTTCCTGTCTAACAACCACAAAGTTGCTAAATATCATTTATAGTGTTTATTCTCTTTGTCTTTGGCCACCTCATCTTTCTCAGTTTCTCTGAAGATTTTTTTTCTTTTCAGATCATTTACCTGGTGTGATCTTCTCTCTTACTGGTCACCCACAAACTTTATACCCTTTTCTCTTCAAACGTCAGCTGAAGTGCACAGCTGATTATAAACATTTTTTAAGCCATTGGTTTATAACACATCCCAGCAATGGGACTATAAGCAGATCAAAACATAGGAGAACTTAAACACCAGAGAAATAAAAAAAAAAAAAATAGAAATTTGGTTTTTTTCTAAGACTTTTTTTCTAAGACTTTTTGGCCTGATTTACCTTGGATTTAAGTATCACCTATAAATATTTATGAACTATTTAGCAGCAAATAAAGCTATAATTAATTATTTGTTTTACTGTGTGACTGGTCAAGTAACAAATAACTTAAAGAAATTTGAAAATAAAATGCTCTTCCTTGTCAGTTTTTTTCCCTGTATTTTGCACAGCAGTAGATTTGCAGTGCGGTTGCTGGTCATCACTGGACTGCAAGCACAGATTCCGACCCTCCCTCTGACAGCCTCTGGGTGAGTGGCTCTGCAAATGTATTTGTGCAGCTCTCTTGTGACTTCATTGCTGGCCGAGTGCTTTTGCTTACTAAGATCTATGGGTAGGTTGAATGATGAAACATGAAAAATTTATACAGGTGGACTCTGTGTAAAAACGAGAGAAAAACGTTAGGCCTCAAATGTGATTTATCAGCTTTGGCTTTGTCAACTGAATCAATATAGCTGAAGTTTAAAGTTCTCATGAAGAAATCCTGGCCACAGTAAAGTCAGTGAGGATGTAGTTGGGGCAAAATTTAATCCAACAACCCTCCTTTTAATGGTTGTATAATCTTACTAAACTCTTCCTGCTGTTCTCAGGTCAGTAGAATCCAAAATGTGAGCCAGATCCGACTTGGTATAACTCCCACATTTGTGCTTGTTGTTTCTCCTGAACAGGAACAGCAAGTGCTGATCTTTATCTCAGGATTTCTCTAAAATACTTCGGTCATGCTGAATGCTCAGCTCAGCTTTCCAGGACACTTCTGCCTGAAGACAGTCCTCAGCAAACCTTCTGGCAGTAGGATGTGCCATGCTGCCGTGTGACAAGACTGTAATCTTGTTTCTCAAGTAAAAGGGGGGGGGGGAGAGGAGGGGAGGCAGGGGAAATAGCAGCACCTTTATGTGGCCAGCCATGCTTGCAAAATTGGTTTAGGAAAGGGTCATGATTAAAATCTTTTCCAGAAGCCTGTTAGCATAAGCCCCGGATACAATCAATACATGAAAGCGAAACAGCAAGCTTCAAACATTCAAGCTGGGCTAAAACAAACGGATAAAACCCAAATACTATGAAAGGAAACATCTTTCATAGTTTCCTATGAAACAACTGGTTTTGCTTTTGTAACAATAAACTGGTTTTAAACTTTTTAATAAATTACTGCTATTTACTGCTACCACAATAAAACATATCTTACCTCTGATCCACAAAGACAAAAGAGAGACAAGAAAACCAAGCAGACTGGGAGCACTCGCATGATGAAATTTTATCTCCCTTTGTAGTCAAATTCCTCTGGCTCGGATTCTTTAGAGTATCAGCTATTAGATTTGTGTTTAATTTTTAACCATTAGTAAAATATTTTAAAGTGCACTTAGAAATAAAGTACAGGAGCCTCAACTTTTGACTGATAAATCTGATCTCTCCAAAGGATCCCGCCCCGGCTTGACTGGTTTTACCGTAAGAGCATGATGAGATAAGAGAAGTAAAGCCCTTGAAGTAAATGATTAAAAGGAAGCACTTGTTAAGGAGACACATTTCTTTTATTTGGCCAGAGGAGTCTGATCGACACATCTGCACTGATTTCTCCTGATTGCAGGCATTGTTTACTATACAGTATTTATTATTTATTATTATTGTGAAGGACAAATGCTTTTGTGTACACCGTACACATGGAGAAGCCCTCCTATCCGTGTGGTGCCCACTACACGCTCACCCGCGTCACAACCTCCTTTTCCACCGTCTGTGTTGAGAATTTTCCAAGGATCTGGCGGGTTCTCTTGCGACAGTGTCGCTCGATCGGTGCCGATTCACTTACGGCCGCAGCCCCGTTTCCGGCAGCGCGGGCGGTTTCCCCGGCGAGGACGGTGCGCACGTGCAGGTACGGCCCGGTCTGTCCGTCTGTCTGTCCGTCTGTCTGTCATTCCCCAGGCAATGGCGCCCAGGAGGGACCCGCGCGGCCCCGCGCTCAGGCTGCAGGCCCACGGGAACCTCTCGTGGTTTAGGGAGGGCCGAGCGGAAGGGCCGGGGCGACCCCCGGTACCGCCGCTCGGCTGGGGGAGGGACGGAGGGAGAGGGGCTTTTTACAAGAGCATGTAGGGGTAGGATAAGGGGAAATGGCTTTAAACTGAAGTCAGGTAGGTTTAGATGGGATATTGGGAAGAAATTCTTCACTGTGAGGGTGGTGAGGCACTGGAACACGTTGCCCAGAGGAGCTGTGGATGCCCCATTTTTGGAAATTTGTTCAACGCCGGAAATGGATGGGCCCTGAGCAACGTGGTCTAGTGGAAGGTGGGGTTGGGAACTGGATGATCTTGAAGGTCCCTCCCGACCCAAACCATTCTGTGATTCTGTGATGTTCTCACTTTGTGCCACTCCTTTGTGGGACTGGAGAGCTGCACAGTTTTCTCCTGGGGCTGGAAAGTGTCTCGTTCAACGCTCATACAGAGGAGTGAAGAACATTCTAATCACTGCTAGTCACTTTTTGCGGGTAGGTGTTGCAGTGGATGACATCTCAATTGTAAACTTGATTTTTCACAGGCTAAAACCATAGCACGTTTGTAGTGAGTGTTGGAAAGGACCAACCACTAAATTGACAAACAAGGCTGACAGGAGACCTGAGTTTGTACAGCGAACCAAATGTGAGATATCTTTTGCCTCTTAAACAGCTGAGTTTTGTCCACAATTTAGGAGGGAGTAGAGGATGTCTTTCCGTGGCAGAGGAGGTGGAGGAGGAAGAGGAGGCGGAGGCTTCAGCCGTGGAGGAGGCGGTGGTGACAGAGGTGGCTTTAATCGCGGCGGACGAGGTGGCTTTGGACGGGGAGGCGGAAGAGGAGGCTTCAACAGAGGCGGATATGACCAGGGCCCTCCCGAAAGGGTAGTTTGTAAGTTACATGGAGGAATTGTATTTGTTAAAATTTAGAATGGTCTGAATCTTTAGCTTGTTTGTTTTCTATTTCAGTGCTGGGAGAGTTCATGCACCCCTGTGAAGATGACATTGTTTGCAAATGCAAAACAGAAGAAAACAAGGTGCCTTATTTCAATGCACCAGTGTATTTGGACAATAAAGAACAGATTGGCAAAGTGGATGAGATCTTTGGACAGCTGAGAGATTTTGTATCCTTCAAAAAAACGTGTGATGTACAGCATTTGTTTTTTTTTAAAGTGGATTGGATATTAATTGGGATTTCTGTAGGATTTTAAAATAGTTCAAGGCTTGGCTACCAGTTATATGTGGACAGACACAAGTCTGGCTGCAACTATTGATGTCAGTAGGTGCTTCCTTCACATTAAGTGCCTGTCTTAAAGCCTTTTTGATATGACAGAGTACTTTCAGTCAGGCAGAGGGTTTCACTCCGTACCAGCACTGGGGCTGTGTTTTGGATCCAAGGTGGTTCAGGTTGTTACTTTTTACATCTAACTGACAAAATTTTCCACTATAGGTTACTCACCCATAACAGAGTTGGATCAAGGGTGTGGGGATTTTTCCCTGTGCATTAGGGGTACCTTGGCCATACTCCAGCTCATTATTTAATTATAAAGTGAGATTTTGCTAGGATGTGCTGTTGTTCATTGTCCAGTTTGTTACTACAAGTGGGCTTGTGCTGGGATGTCCTCTGGCAAAGCAAGCTTTTTGACACGGGCCCTGGGTCCATTCAGTTGTCACTGCCAGATTTACGGAGTCCATGACGAAAGTGGGATGCCTGGGGGAGTAACCCTGTAACATGGCAGTAAGACAGCCTGTGTTGGTTTGTTGAGCATCAGTCACTAGCTACAGGCATTTTCCTCTCCTACATGAAATGTGAAGTAAAACATGGAGGTTTTAAAGCACTGTCACGCTCTGAATGTATTAACTATCAGATTTACTTTTTGTATCAGAATTACCTGAATTGCAAGGACTTGTTTTCTTCCTACAATAGCATATGAAGCAAATATGTTGCTGGATTTTGCAGCTCCTTGCTTCCCCATTTAATCTTGACTTCTAATTAAGCAGAGTTGGCCAGCAGCTCTTTTTGATCTTGGGAACTGCATTCCTAAGCCCCTGCATACTGGAGAGCCAAAGGATTCGGAGAAGAGTGATTGTGGGATTACAGAGAGTCTGCCAGTTCCCTGTAGGATGAGGCTGGGTATGTGGTTGGTCCAGCAGTTGCTGCTGGCTCTTACCTTCCCACAGTCAGGCATCCAGCAGCAGCATTAGAAGAGCCCCTGCAGCATGTGAATTATTCTAGATAAGCCTTGAGGTCACCCTGGGGCTTAGGGGTTCATCACTTGCTATGCTGTTTTTTTACAATTATGTTTTTACTCTTTGCACTACTGTGTTCTTCCTTATGCCTTAATACATGAAAGGAAAAAATTATTTTACCACAAAATACCATATTTGTAACTAAGAAAAAATTTGAGAGAAATTGATAACAGTTTCTCCTGATCTTTCAGTTGCAACTGTGATGATTTTTCGCTTAATTTATAAAATACTAATTTAGAAAATGTCTGAATATGCCTTTGCATAATAATCAAATTCAAAATTTCTAATGTTTTATTACTGCTGTGCTCCTTAAAGAAACTAACAGTATTTTTCAGTGAAACTGTCTGAGAACATGAAAGCTTCTTCATTTAAAAAAATGCAAAAGGTAAGCCAATCTCAATAATAGCATTTTACTGTATGTCATCAGTTAGATAAATCTACTCTATGTCAGCAAATAATAAAAGCTTTTTTAAGTTTTTAATAGCTTTAAAAGCTGATTGGCCTTTGTAAACAGTATTTAATTTCCTCTTCCTTTCCGGTTTTGTATCTATCTTGTTCTTCCTCTTCCCTGCCTCACAAGGAAAGATGTAACAAATGAAAATCACACAAATATCTATATTTTAGTAACTTTCTAACACTGTGATTTATTTCTTGCGTGCTCTCTGTATTTGGCTATTTGCAGAGGACAGTTTGACATAAAGGGGTAAGAGAAATTGTGGATATTTGTAAAGGGAGATATTAATGTGCTTTTTGGTCGTGGTATTTTGAAAGCCTAATGTAACTCTCTTCCTACAGTTTTACATTGATCCAGCAAAGCTACTACCTCTTCAGAGATTCTTGCCAAGGCCCCCTGGAGAAAAAGGTGCTCCCAGAGGAGGTGGTAGAGGAGGACGTGGTGGTGGACGTGGGGGAGGAAGAGGTGGTGGTAGAGGTAAGATCCCAAGAATGGAAGCTGCAGAATGTTGGAGTTATTTGGGGTGGCATAGCTTGTTTTGTTCATTTGTTTTGTGGGGTATTTGTGGTGATTTGTTTTTTAAAGCTGCTGTTGAGTGCTTGAATATCAACAGCTGTATTGCAAAGAAAAATGTTACTCATGTTTCTGTTTGACTCAGTAGAAAAGACAGTGATATCTTTTCAATGGCAAGACCAATGACTAAATAACAGCTTCAGTGCATAGGGAGGAGAGAACGCTGATTTATAGCAAAGACAGAAAGTGTGACTACTAAGCAAACTTGTAGTAAAAGGTTGTAGATAATGCACACTCAAAACTGTCAGTGAAATCTATACTTTTAGTATGTTTAGAGTCTTAGAATCATGGAATATCCTGCTTTGGAAGGCACCCACAAGGATCATCAAAGTCCTGACTCTGCACAGGACAGCACCAAGAATCGCACAATGTGCCTGAGAATGTTGCCCAAACGCTTTTTGACCTCTGTCAGGCTTGGTGCTGTGACCACTTCCCTGGGGAGCCTGTTCCAATGCCCAACCACCCTCTGAGTGTAGAACCTTTTTCTAATATCCAACCTAAACCTCTCCTGACACAACTTCACATGATCCCCTTGAGTCCTGTCACTGGTCACTACAGGAGGTGCCTGCCCCTCCACTTCCCTTTCTGAGGAAGTTGTAGCCTGCAATGAGGTCTCCTCCAGGCTGAACAGACCAAGTGCCCTCAGCTGCTCTCATATGGCTTCCCCTCAAGGCCCTTCACCGTCTTCGTTGCCCTCCTTTGGACACTCTCTAACAACTTTATATCTTTATGTTCCAAAAATCCAGTCTGGGTATGAAAATACTTGAAATGCAGTGTTTGAGAGAGAGGTGAATGACCTGGTGAACCTCATCCTCTGCTTTTTGAGGGTGAGACATCATCTGCCATGTACTTACTCTGCAGTTAAAGCTGGAGTTCATTTTTTCTTACATCACAGTTTCTTGCCTATTCTGCCTACCCTGCCCCTTTGCAGCAAGGCACAAGTGTTTCAAAGTGGTTTGGTTGGTTTGTTTGAACTAATAAATAATAATTATTAATAATTGTAATGAATTACTGGTTAATATATGTAATTAGTTTTGTGCTCTTGTGAAATAAGTTAATTGTGGAGTTTTGTTAGTGTCTTTAGTATTTTGGACATGGTATATCAGATATCAAACAATACCTAAAGTGCTGCAGATGGTCCCTAGAAAAGACAATTGAGCTGGTAACCATCCAACAACTGACAGTTTCTGGGTTTTTGTTGTTGTTCATTCCCTTTCAGAAGTTGTCAATGAAATAAATTGTTACGCATAATAAAGAATTTATATGCTTCTCAAAGGGTAATTTCTTTCTTACTTGTAGGAGGATTTGGAGGAGGAAGAGGTGGAGGAAGAGGAGGAGGAGGAGGATTCAGAGGAGGCAGAGGTGGAGGAGGAGGATTCAGAGGAGGCAGAGGTGGAGGAGGAGGCTTTCGGGGTGAGTGTGTGGTTTTTAGTGTTTAATAATAAGAATGGCTCCTGATTTCTAAAGCTTATAAATACTAAACAGAATGTTGTAACTTTTAATGTATTGTAGATGTTTATGGTTTTATGTAAAATGTTTCGGTGCATCCCAGTAGCTTAAACCAAAGCACAGTATTCTGCATTTGTTGATCTGTGTATAAGAACATGTTAGATTTTTCCATTCAGAAAGGGCTGTGAGAACAGATAAAAGTGATAAATTATTTTATTCTATCAGCTCATTCAGTGTTACGTATATAACTAATCTGCTTTAACTGCAACTAAGATGTGAACTATTTGGTGTATTTTTTCTTTCCTCTTAAAATAGGAAGAGGACATTAAAAACGGAGCCATGAATATCTCCCCACTGTCTTACCATGTCATCTACAGAAGGGAAGAAGCAGCAAAAATTTTTGTAAAGGACCCTGAAAAAGTTTTTTTTATAAAGAACTTGAAGCTGTAAGATGATGATTATTTTTACAGCTAGTTACTGGTGATCAGCACATGAGGAGTCTAGCCCCAGATGAAGAGCTGAAGACCACTCAGACTGTACGGACACTTTTCTAACTAAGCCAGGATTTGATGTTATTCTTAAACTGTTTGTTTCTGACAAGCAGCAGCCAATGCTTGACTTCGTGATGGAGTTTGGAGTAAACAGTCAATTGAAATGGGTTCTCAGAAGACCCTACAGGGTCACTACGTGCACATTCATCAGTGTGAACCTGTTACCTGTGCGTGACTGATCCCTGGTTCTCATCCTCCTTTTACGTAGAATCCTCTGGGTTGCTGTGAAGTGGACGTGCTGTTTAAACAACCTTTGTGAACCTTTTTTTATAAACTAAACTTAAATGTTTTGTGTTCATAGATTTTTTAAAAAATACATAATGTATAAAAGAAAAGGAAGATAGTAAAGTATATTTTGTGAATTTTTCTATATAAATCTCAATGAAAGCCAAAAGCATTAAGACACGTTCTTCTCAGCAGCTGCTGTCTAATGAACAGGACAGGCTAGTACTATACTTGAGTCACCTAATTGTATATTACAGTGCTAAGGGTTTTTAACTGTCCCTGCATACTCCCTTAGCTTGTTTCTTTTGACGTTTTTAAATCCTGGCACTTCATCTCTGTGGTGCTCTGAGCTTTTGCAGGGCTAAGATTAAAATAGCCCATCATTGGGCTCCTCTGCACACAGCGCTTCTGGTTATGTATTGCTTAAAAAACCAGTATGTATTGCAATAAGCAATTATGTATTGCTTAAAAAAGGTATGAAAAAACCGGCATGAGTCTTTGGACTCTTTAAATGGATGCATTATGAGGATTTTTGAAAAACTAGTGACTGTCTCTCCTTATGAACAGAGGAGACCAGGGTACCTCTCTACTCTTGAACTTTGGAAATAAAGTAAGTAGTAGAAAGTAGAATCTCTCTGGACTTCATCCAAAGCCAGGAGTCTCTTCACAGACTCTCCTACTAAGCACTTTTGAAAAGGGAGCTGTAGGATAATGTACGTGCAAGTATTCTAAACATCTTTTTCCATGTGAAAAGAAATACATTTCAGGATTGATCGTACTGTTACACTTTTTAATTGATGAATGCAGTACCAGGCAGATGAATTGTATTAGCCTTCTGTTTAACGAAAAGAGACAGGTAATTTTTCAGCACTGGGATAGGACAGTTACTGGTCATTTTAACAAATGTGACTGTTAGTTTTAATAATCTCTGGAACAAAACTTGAAACAAGCTGGAAAAAAGGTACTAAAGAATTCACTTAAGTGTGAACAGATGCTGCATAGGATAATAGATAAAAATATTCGTCAGCTTAAAAAAACCCACAAGCATTGAATTTCTGTTACATTTGGTTTTGTAAGAAGAAACTGAGTCTACTGTTTAGCCACAGCACTATCTGGAACTGAAGGATTCCAGTTGTTTTCGTGGTATTGCTACAGTCTTAGCTTTAATCAGGTCAGTTAAATCCAGAACTCTCAGAATGTTTAGGCTTTTGTTGCTGTGCATTGATAGGCCAAAGTGACCTAGGGCATTGACTGCCCTTTAACTAGACAGACTCCCATGTCAGGAGTTAGCTGTTGCATTTCAGGTGCGCCACATTGCAGTTGAACAGCAGGGACCAAGTGCAGCTGCAATTGTCAGTACTTCTGTCATTTGCAGCTGCATCTGCTGTGCTGTGTTCACTGATGCTTCAGTAGCTCGTTGAGGGTAGCTGACTTGGATCGCCTTTCTTTATTCATCTGACTTTGGAAGGCTAACTTAACACAATCCTCACGCTTACACCCAAATTCATGCTCTGCTTTGCTATTCTCACTGCATGCTTTAGGGACACGCTTTTTTCCTGGGGTGTCAGAAGACGCCTGCCGTCCCTTTTGAATTGCATGGTGTGACAGCTGATGGTTTGGTTACAGTCAGTGCCACCCTCCTGCAGGCCAGGACAAGATGTGTATGCTTTGACTCTCAGCAGATGGAGCAGTGAGTCAGCTTGAAGTACTGCGAGGCTGAAGCAAAGGCTTTGACATCTGTGTGCAGAGGGGCTAAAGAGCAATATCCATTGCAGCTCTACAGGGAAGGTTGGCCTCCTGGTTATGGGGGACAGATTGCAGTCCCAGCTGAGGATCGTTATGGTATGGCCTATGCATACAAACAATGCTGGATGGATTTTATACAAATACACAGAGAAAAATTATAATCTTAGATCTTTTGGGAGGTTGTAGGATGTTACGATATAAGAATGTCATCAGTGATTGGTTGTGAATATGAGGAAACTAACTATTGTGTTTGTCATATGATGCCTTTTTTCTGTTTTGGTTTTTTTTTTCTTCTCCATTTTGGGGAAGGATGGTGTTTGCCAGGCACATCCGGTCACTCTTCTGCCTTGTCTTCTCTGTGCCATGACATGACCCTGCCCTCCTAATGTAAGGTGCTAACTGTAATGGATGAAAATTCAGTCTTTTAAAGAACAGGTCTTCTCTGCAGTGTAATGCTGTAGTGAACTAAAATACAGGTTCTCTAATTTTATATGACACCTTCTCTCTGTCTTGACTTTTTATTCAAATCCTATCCAATGATGTGGTCATTTTGTGCTCCTTATGCTAGTAAGTGGAATGTTCCAGTTTTATATAAGTGCTTACAGTTATCCTAGGCTGCATCTTCAGAGAATAGGAAGGGGGGGATCTCACCAGTACCCTAACAGAAGTTAGTGTGTTGCAGAAGTGGGAAGTTTCAAGTAGCTGTGCTGTCTGGGGAAGAAAAGTCACAGTGCAGTCTGAAGTGAGCAGGGTGGGGTAAGGTGTTACTGGTAGTGTAGGCTCTTCATGGCTGGTATTCCCTGGATTTTCCCTCACTGGCAGCATTTGGGACAAAGTACCTGGGTCATCTAAAGAGTTCATCTGATGCCTGCTCCAACAGGGCAAAGAGAGTTGCTGTCCTGCAGTATTCCTCTGAAGCTCAGGTAGGTTTCAGTGCTTGGCTGCCCACCCAGGACACAGCAGTAGTGGTGTCACCTGCCTGTGTCCTCCTCCACTTGTCAGTGCCTGCATGTGCTTGCTGTTGGCAGGGGTAGAGCTTTCAGTGACCGAGTCCTGTTTTCAAAATGTGGCTGCAAATGAATGTGTTGGCCACTCAGGCATAGGGTCTGGCTTTCAGCTGATTTCGAAAATAACAGCTGGTAAATCACTAGGATCTGATTGTTTAAAGGTATTCAGAAGACCTGGAGCCTTTTGTCCTTGCCACACCAAAATTCTGGGTTTATATTTTTTTCTGTCTTGGAGGGATGTTTACTCACCTTGTGTTTTCTATGGTTGCCGGGATAGGATGGTTCAGTGTCATTCATAAGATGTGCTCTGTTACTTTGTCAGAGAAATCTGATGAAGTGCAGAAAATAATTGGGATATTTTGGTGTAAGTCTGCAGCACTGGCCTGTGTAGAACAGAAAGGATTCTCTCTGGCACTGACTCACAGCTATGGACATTTGCCTGAAGCAGTACTGGACTGTCACACACATACTGGTGCAAAGTTATTTGCAGCTGTGCAAAGCATCGTCTTGGCAAAAACCGGTAGTGTCTCTAAGAAAAAAAGGCACAGCTACTGTGTGAAGTAGGGCAAGTAAAAAGCTTTTTGGAGTAATGTATTTTCAAGGGTGTTTTCTTCTGTCAGCTGAAAATCTCTTTTGAGTCAAGCTATTCTGGACAGAAGTTTAAATCTAGTAAAAATCAGCGAGTGGGGGGAAAAAGTAAGTTACTAATTTGTTTTCCATGGGATTTAACTATTTGCATCTGTAAGAAAAGGGACGTTCTGCCTTAGAGAGCCATCTAGCGGAGATTGCATAATAAACGTGGGAGGGGTTGGGTTTGGAGTGTGTTCGTAGTCTGGTTATCGCTGAAAATATCCTGAAAATGCCACTGAAAATCCACTCTCATCACTCATGGATTGAAATACATTTTACACATAACTGAAAGCAGCTTGCTAAACCTTGTGATGAGTTTTACATGTATATAGAGAGGTACCTACAAATTGAAGAATGGTCTTAAATAGAAGTGTTTTGCTATTGATCTGGAACAACTGGGAAGGAAAAGCATCACTTGAGTTTATAAAGTGTCCTCTGACACCAGTAATACTATCTGTTATTGGAGAATAAAAACAATGCCAGGTTTTGGATTTTATTTTCTTATACCAGTATAAATAAGCAGTGTGGTAAGACATATTTTAACTGGCTTAGGAACTGTGGTTCCAGCTTTCTGGATTATTTGTACGCTTCAATATTTAATTCCTTTTTTTTATCTTTTTGGCTTTGTTTCATGAACTGCAGTTTTGTAGAAAAAAATGTACTTTTAGGTTAATGATGTTTGCCTTTAATTTTGACTTTTCTCTCAATTCCAGTTGCTGTAAAGTTAGTCAGATTTAAGAAGAGATGGCGACAATGTGATGGTACATAGGATGGACTACACATATCAGAAAGTTGTGTTTTAATCAACAAGTATAAAATTTCTATGGTCTCGTTAAGTGCTACTCTATGTCTGGAATCCTGTCTGAATAAAAATAGTGATGCTTTGCTTTTCTGAGACATTCAGCATTGCAAACTCTGACTTCTGTGGAAGCTGCAAGATCTGAGGTGCTTTTGAAACTCTTGCCAAAGTGTCAGAGGAGGAAAGCAAAGATATCGAATTATCACTATGCTTTTATCTTTTGAGGCAGGACTGTGGTGCACGAGGGAAGTGGCTTCATTGCCAAACAGATCGTCTTTCCTATTAGATCTCTCCCACCCTGTTCCTGCCTAATCCTCTTTTGACAGGAAAAATACTGTAATAGTACAAGTAGCCTGAGAGCTGTAAGAGTGAGCGTAGATCTGGGGCATTAAAGAAAACGTTTGCTGGTAGAACTATGACACGTGATTGTGTGTAGTAAGGATGACTACATGTTGTGACTGCACAAGTTTTATATAAGAATGTTCTTTTATATTCAAATGGGTGAAAGATTTAGGATGTCTGTTTTGGAGAGCTGAGGAGTAGGAGGGAATGCTCTATGAGTGTTTGACAGGTTAGGGAAGGGAGAGTTCTTCAGGTATACTTCCTTTCTATAGGATGACTGTATTCCTCAATACTGCCAGTGTCACTGCATCCTTACTGCTGTTCAGAAGATACAGCTCTAGCCTGGGACCTGCTTGAACTGCGTGTGGACCACATACAACTGAAGAACTACTGGTTGCTTATCCTTGTCACTTTTATGCCCAGTATGAATACTAACTGGAGGCAAAAACTGTGTGAAGTGGGACTGATGGGAAACAGCTGGTTTCTGATACTGCATATGAACTATTTGGGCAGGGATTTATTGCAATTAATATTTATGCAGGATTTTTTGAAAGGTCTTTACTTTGGTGTGCTGGTACGTCATCACTGAAGAGAAAAAAACGTGACCTTCTGCTGCTTAGGTGTTTGGAAAATGCCCAGTAATTTTCTGCCCAGTAACATGCCTTGGAAAATCTGCCCGAAGTAAGCTTACATGCATTGTGTTTAGGAGAGGGAGGATGTTCTGGCTTGTAAGGCACATTCAACGATCATTTTCTCCAGACTAGGCTATTTTAGTAGTGTAGGAATTGAATTTTCTGAAAGTCATGCTTCACTTTAAAAAATACTGGAATGTCTTTTTCTTGTGTCTATGTCATCTTGAGAGCTTAACTCGAAAGCAT